GCGGCGTTTTCGGTCGCACGTGGTTGGAGGCCACGTGTGTGTGTTGGCAGCATGATGCAACACGCAGTGGAGGCTACTGGCGTCGAGTCCTATATCGTGACGAGTGTTCGTGGTGCTGGGCGTCTCTCAACGACGACTAACAAGGAGCTTGGGGATGCATACTTCGATACCATGACACCACTGAATCCATCTCAACGCGCATTCAGCGGGGGGCATAACGGAGAGTGCAGTACGTAGGAATCGACCGACAAGCCCAAGCTCAACGCCAACTCTCAATGCCAACTCTCAATGCCAAAACGTCGAAATCGCAAGACGGATGTCTCAATAGTAGTTATAATGCACGACAAGTGCTCGCTGAAAAGAGTGAAAGTAGGGACTTGGGTCCTCGAGCCTACCACAATGGTCAAGCAATGTGTACCACCTCGGCGCGTGCGCTCTGCGACGCCGAAGTTCGAAGCCATAATCTTCGACGCGACCAGACATCTCACTTTTCGCACCCAGAAGCCGGCGCGATGCGGGTCACGCCCCGCGCATACTTGACGCCGCTCGCGCTGCTTGTGCTCTTCCACCACGTGCCAATTCTCATCGCGTGGGCCGTCTCGAGCGTGCGCGAGGCCTGCACGAGCGACGCCTTCCCAGTCACCCGCTACGTGCGCGTGGCCGTTTGGCTGCACAGCGGCCTTCTCGGGCTCTCGGTCATCGCGATTGCTATCACGCTGTGCTTGCCCGTGTTCCGCCCATCCGTGCCGAAGGAAACGGCAATCTTGGTGGCCATCGTCGGCGTCTACGTAGCGCTCGCGGGCTGGAGCGTCTACGGCCTATACATCCATAACCAGGACTACGGCGCCTGCAACTGGCCGTTCGATCATCCGTCAATCGTGCTCTTCGACACGGTCGTGTCGTGGACCGTCGTCGTGCTCTGGATGTGCAACAACTCACCGCGGTTTTGCTGCCGCCGAGCGTCCGACCCGGTCAACTACTGGAACAAGCGCTGCCGCCTCTTGTCCATGGTCTGTGTCTGCACCGACTACCGCAAGCAGCAACTCGACATTGATGTCTTCTCTCTTCTGGGCGCTTTCTTGGCGCAGTTTCTCGGCGGTCGCCGCGCGCCTCGCACGGTACGCTGTCGCTCGATCGACTGAAACACCCGACTGAGACGTAATGCCTCCAGTACCAATCGCTGCACAGCCACGACATTGTACTGGCGCTGCGACTCATCTCCAAGGCACTCGATAGCAACTGCGATCTACCTCTAACGCTGGTGTAGCGCCAAGCGCATGAACGACAAGAGGCGACACCTGCACCGGCGCCGACAACCAGTCTCCTCGATACGGTACTCCGCCGTGCGTGCGTTTGAGACGCGTGGACACTGCCCTCTTGCGTTATTCTAGTCGATGCTGCTCCAGAAAGCATCCTACTACGGGCGCCTCTCCGCGGGCATCTACGGCTGGCCCATGTACATCTACTACAACCCGCTCTCGTGCCACAAGACGTGGCCGTGCTGCCAGCCACGCGACGTCCAGCAGCACTTGACGACGGTACATAGCCGACACACACATGTACTCGATGTACCATTATGACTAGCTCAAGGCGACGTCGGCGGGCCACGCGTCGCGCCACGCCGTGTCGTTCGTGCAGTACACGGGCGTACACCACACACACGTTCAGTACATGGACCGCAGCAACTCGATCTTCCAAGTGCCCTTCTCCGTACTCAAAGACGCGGACGCGAAAGAGCTCATTGTGTGCGTCCGGGGCTCCTTCTCGTGGCACGACATCATCACGGACGTCCTCACGCAGTCGGTCGCGCTCCCAGTCGGCGAGACCTGCGTTTCGGGTGCGCACCTTGTCGCTGTAGAAGGTGCCGACAGGTGGTAGGTACGGTGCGCGCTCACGAAGGCGCCTACCGCGCGGCCCGCCACATTTACCAAGAGCTCCAGTCCGGTGCCCTCAAAACCATCTTTTGGGACACTGCCAATGAGCTCTGTGGCCGCGACGACGAGCCCACGGGCTGGCGCGTTGTGCTCACGGGCCACTCGCTTGGCGGTGCGATTGCAACGCTCTTGGCGCTCTTCCTCGAAAAGTTCTTTGTCGTCCACGGCTACGTGTTTGCGCCCATGAAGGTGGTGGACGCGATCACGGCCGACCACGCAGCCTCGTTTGTGGACGTGTTCGTCTACGGTGCGACCAATGAGCTGGTTGAGAGGACTCACGCGGCGAGCGTGTAGGCGACGACTTTGCATCGCGGCTCTCGGCCATGACTTTGGTAGAATGCGCCCGTGACGAGGTGTCTCACTCGCCGTAGGCGCGGCTTCGGGAGGAAATGCTGGTGGAGCTCAAGAACGCCTCCAACATCCCCCTCTACAAGGTTTATTGGCACGGATTCGACCCGACGTGCTGGGCGCCCAGCGTGCATGCGCACTGGAACGACTGGGAGTTTATCGAGAACCGCGACGGTACGTCAGCCGTCGGTATTGCAAATCTCAGTGTATGTACGACGCAATAGAGGTCGATATGCAGGTCGCCGGGCGCATCTTTCATGTGGAGCCCGAGGCGCCACGCGGCCTCTGGCCCCGGCTATGGCCGTCGAAGAACCCAGTGAGTTGCACCTGGATCAAGGCCATTTGATAGGATGCATCGTGGTGTAGGTGCTCACGTGCACGCAGCGGTCACGCAGCCAGTTTGATCGGCTTTGGCTCAACTACCACGCAGGCACGGACCACTTCCCACACCACTACGACCAGTACTTGGCGCACGCTGCACGGCGTTTGGAGGTGCTTGGCCAAGCCGACGCAGCGTTCTTCGAGGAGGCGCGGGCGTAACTCTATACGCTTTCTACTGCACACGGAAGAACCCAGTAGAGATGTTTAGTGGGACTTGGTATAAAGACAATAGCTATTGCCGTGTCATCTACTAGTACTAGTACGCAATTGCTGACCAAGAACTTTGGCCAACGGGAATTGAACTGGCGAATGTGCAATTCGTTCGTACTTCGGTGCGGTTCGGCCCAGTCGTACTTGGCATAACTCGCACTTTATCCGCGCCCATTGTCGAGAGTCTCGGCAGGATGGCGATGCTGCGGCCCGTGCTGCGGCTAGGCCTTCTGAGCGCAGTGTCCAACCGCCACCAGAGCTCAGTGCGTCTTGCGGGCGCTGTGGGACTCTTTGCCGGCGGTATAACGGCGGCGAACGTCTCGTTGACAGAGACGCACTGCCGCCACGCGCAAGTCCACGAGAAGCCGCCAGTGCTGCATGCCTCTGGCCTCGCCATTCTTCCGGTGCGGCGTCATTGCAGCAACTGCATGCGCTAGACACTTGCTTCTTCTGTAGGTCGCGACAAGTGTGTGGGCGCGTATTGCGCGCATCCTGCGCTTGCTCTTCCACTGCGGGCGCCTCGTCCTCCTGGGCACGCCGCTACTCGTGACGTACCCCGTAGCACGCGTCTGCAAGGCCGACTTGCCCGACTGGTGGTGGCGCCTCGCGCTCTGGTCTGGCGGCCGGTCCAGCCCTGCGATCATCAAGTTTCTCCAATGGGCGAGCACGCGCCGCGACCTCTTCTCGGTCAAGTTTTGCGACACGTTTATGGCGTTCCACTCGCACGTGCAGACGCACGACTGGGCGTTCACGGAGGCCATCTTGCGCGACGCGTTCGGCCCGACGTGGTCCGAGCACTTGTCGCTCGAGCGCGAGCCCATTGGGTCCGGTGTCATTGCCCAAGTTTACCGTGGACGGCGCGTCGCGACGGGCGAGCGCATCGCTGTCAAGGTCATTCACCCACACATCCAGGACCTTGTCGCGCTCGACCTCGAGCTGCTCTGGCTCGCGGCGCGGGCCATCGACTGTGTGCTACCGAACCTATCGGCCAAGGTCGGTATGGTGTCTTTTGCCCAGGTACGGCAGCCAAACTTGAGCATGGACACCGAATGCATCGATGCATGGTAGGTCATGTCGAGCCAGCTCGATTTTCGCATCGAGGGCCAGAACCTCGCAACGTTTCGAGAGCACTTTGCCACGCGCAGAAAGGTGGCGTTCCCCGAACCGGACTTGGCGTGGACGACCGAGAACGTGCTTGTCGAGAGCTTCGTCGACGGCGTGCACATCATGGAGCACGTGACAGCGCAGCGAAGCTACGACCGACCGCTGGCGTCCGTCACGATCGACGCGTTTCTGCGCATGCTCTTCTTGGACAACTTTGCGCACGGCGACATCCACCCGGGCAACATCCTCGTCACGACCGACGGGATCGCGCTCCTCGACGCCGGCATCGTCAACGTCCTCGGTGGCTCCGACTATGACGATTTTGTGGAGCTCTTTCACGCAATCGTCAACAAGAATGGGTACGAAGCGGGGCAGATCCTCCTCGCGAAGAGTCCGCGCCACCACTGCGTCGACCAAGACGCGTTCTGTTGCGGCATCAAGTCGATCGTCGACCGAGCGACGGCCAATTTGAGTTTGAAAGACGTCCCCGTCGGCGACCTCCTCACCGAGGTGCTTGAGCTCTGCGGTACCCACCACGTCGCGCTTCAAGGCCGGTTCGTCTCGGTCGTTGTCTCGATCGGCGTTCTTGAAGGCGTCGGGCGGCTCTTGGACCCGGAGCTCGACTTGCTTCAGGTGGCACTGCCGATCCTCGTTCAAGCCAAGCTCCAACGCATGAAGGCTGCCGCGTTAGCATAGGGTATGCGATCCTAATAGACAGATGGGTAGAATTTGAGTCAATGAGACGGCGCAGTCGCTGCGTATCGGATATGAACACGCTCGTCGATGTCAAATTTGATCGATCGTCGACGCGCGATCGTCAGCTGCTTGGCTTCAGGTATTCGCTCGAATCACGCAACACAGGCAAATATTCCAGTCGACCATCTAGCTGCTTCGTGCCGCCACGCTGCCTGTTGTCTTGGTGCGTGAGTGCGAGTGAGGAGGGTGGTGATCGTCCAGCGTATCTTTGTCCGGATAAATCATTACTCCGGATAAGGCCACCGTTGTAGTTTGTCGCCAAATTCGGACAGCTCGAGCAGCATGGGCAGCGTCGCAAGCGTGGCCGTCGCATGCGCGGGTCTTCTCGCAGCCGCCGTGGGCGGCGCCGGCGTCTTCGTCTTTTGGCTTTTCCATGGCATGTACAACTCCATCCAAGCGCTGCCGCCAACACCCGAAATGCTCGCCGACAGCGATGCCTGCGTGCTCTTCCGGTACCTCCCGATGCTGCGTGCGCACGTCGCATGGCGACCACTGGGCGTCTTCCCAACGCCCGTGCACACAGCGACCTTGCCGTTATCGAGCTCGAAGCGAACGTTCTACCTCAAGCGAGAAGACCTCTCGAGCCCGCGCTACGGCGGCAACAAAGTCCGCACACTCCAGCACCAGGTGGCCGCTTGCGAAGTGCATTTGGCCGCGACGCCCGACGCCAAGTTCATTTGCATCGGGTCCGCGGGCTCGAACCTGATTGTTGCCGCGGCGGTGCATGGGGCCCACCTGCCCCATCTACCCCCTGCTACTCCAAGGTCGACGCGCCA